ATTATGAGTTTGGTGGTCCCTGAGGTCCAAAAGGTTGGCGACCCCTGGTTTAAGCCATAGTTTAAAACCCAGGCGATAAAAGCTGTTTCCGGGGGGGGGGCGGGGGGGGGGGGGGGAACTGCTCTTCTCTGAGTCCTGGTCCAGTCAATCATCGATAGGCAAAGGACCTGGCAATTGAACTCCAGAGTCTGCCATGGCTGGATTCACATTTTGGGGGGGGGGGGGGGGGGGGGGGGAAGAAAGGCACCTACTTCACATTCCCTTTTGTTCTTTGGTCCAATTGTGCCCCGAACTCGCTCGGATAGCGGGAGGTGCTGTATGAAGGTGAATCCCGGTGGAATCGGAAAGAAGGTATCTTCCCTTTGGCCAAAGTTGAACTCGATGGCACAGTTCTTCGCCAGGACATGAGGGAACAGGGCCTGCCCTCCCAAATTCTCCTTCCGTAGTCGATAGGCCATCCCTAGCCACTTCCCGTTTTTCATGAAGGATATTTCAACGTCATCACCGCACTCGAAGTCCTGAGAAGGAAGGAAGGAAGGAAGGAAGGGGGGAAGGAAGGGGGGAAGGAAGGAAGGGTCAATCAATCTAGAAGCAGGAAATGGGAGGCTGGCGGAAGCTTCAGGAGAAGGGAAGGTAAAGGAGACCCCGTGGGTTTTGCTCCACTAGCCCAGGGGTCAGCAACCTTAAACACTCAAAGAGCCACAACGATCCTAACCGGAAGCTCCCCATTCAATTCTGGAGCCGACCAGACTCTATGGCAGTTCCCCCACCATAGAGTCTCCTCCTAGCACGGTGTCCTTTTCCCTCTACCTGTCCTAACTGAAAGCCCTATCAATTGTGGAGCTGACCGGCAACAGGGAGCCGCAGCAGAGGGATGAAAGAGCCACCTGCGGCTCCAGAGCCGCAGGTGGCTGACTCCTGCACTAGCCGCAGCCAACTTTCGGAGGTTTTGCTCATCTCCCCTAAGCCACTGAGCCATTGGAGAGCTTTCTGCAGCCATGACATCGTGCTGCAGCACAGAGCATGCAGCGAAATTCGGAGCACTGTTACCTTCCCACCGAAATGGCACCTATTTATCTTCTCGCATTTGTGTTCTTGCGAACTGCTAGGTAGGCAGGAGCTGGGCCGAGGAGCGGGAGCTCACCCCGTCACACAGCAGCACTCAGGTCTCGAACCTGGGGCTGCCGGCTTTCCAGGGGACAAGCCCAGCGTCTTAACCACTGAGCCACCGTGGCATCTTAGAGGGGTAAGCTTCTGGAACAGCACAGGCTGCACTCACCACGAGACAAGTGATGACGTCGTTCTCGGAAAAGGTCTCACCGTAATTTTCAAACTTGCAATTGGTAGACTTCTTCGCGGTGCCTCCGTAGCCGTACGAGAAAGCCTCTTCGCCTAACGAGAGTCATAATTACACAGAGATCTGAGCAGCCGTACTATGGGAGGCCAGGTGGCATTAGTAGGGCAGAGCCCTCTTCATATCTCCAGTGTGATTTTATTTAAGCAGGGAAATTGCCTCATTCAAAAGCTCCTGCTTAAAGTAAAGATACTTAAGAGTAAAGATAGCCCAGCATAGCATGAAAGCTAGCTGGGTGACTTGGGGTAAATCACCAGGAGACAAATGAGTTCTAGTCCCACCTTAGGCATGAAAGCCAGCTAGGTGACTCTGGGACAATCACCAGGAGATTGTGAATTTTAGTCCTGGTTTAGGCATGAAAGCTGGCTGGGAAACCATGAGCCAATCATTGCCTCTCAGCCCAGCTGATCTCATAGGGTTGTTGCCATACAGCAAACAGGGAGAAAAAAAAGCATATTAGATATGTTCGCCACCTTGAGTTGTTTATATAAATAATACGGGTGGAATGTAAAATAAATAAATGAAACGTACCCTGAGCCCTCCCTATATCCAGCAATTAAAACTGCTCACCTAACTGAGTGCTACATGAATCCAGTGACCAGCCAATACGCACTACGTGAGGATCTGGTTCAGTGGGAGGAAGGTGTTTGACCGAGATCTCTTCATTGATCTGAAAACAAAAAGAAAGCATTGTTTATTATAAGACAGACAACATTTATTACAAGAACAAGAGCTGATTAAATAAATTATTCAAGAACAATTATTGCCGTCTTCATGAATTCCTACAGATTTAACGGTTTTATGAAGAATTCCTAAAATACTGGATATAATTTTTTTTATACGGCAGAATATTGAATTCAAGCTATTCTAGATTTTTTAAAAACCTGGCTGTTAAGCCAAAACCTCAAGTGAATTCTATTTTTTAATTTAATGGGCTATGTTTTTCATGAGCAAGGATTATAATCATATCATCAGCAAATAAATGTAAGAGATAACCTTTGCTCGGCGTAATGCAACTGCTAACATTACAATAATAAAATAAAAGCAATAAAGAGGAAAAGGGCTATCCCTGTTTGTTGTTATGGGAAACCGAGTCACAATTGTTGGTTCTTACTTGTGTTCTTATGGCCTGGTAAATAAAGGCAGGTAGGTAGAGAGTGTGGAATTACAAGCAAATTTCCTGCGAACGAGCAAAACATTGGAACACAGGCTGAATTCCAAGTAGTGGGGATTTTAACTGCCCCTGCGCAGAAGTGAAGCCTCAGGATATAACTAGTTTAGTCCTCCCAGAAAAGAATTAAGGAATAACTTATGCAACTGCCACAGCTTCCCCATAACCTTCCTCTGTCCTCTGACCCCAGATACCAGTGGACTCCTCAGCTCACAAGTATGCCAGGTTAATATTCATATAATCTCCTCCTGCACTTCTGCAGCGAGGATGGATGTTCCCTCACCTTCATCTCGTAGCACACCCTTCCACGCCGCACCCCGTATGTCGCTCGTGCGCCTGACCAGAGGAAAGCAAATCCTTCGATGGTCAGAGGGTATCCGCTATATCGATCGCGGGCAACTTTGAAATGGAGATCACAATTATCTGAAGAGCAAAGTGAACATCATCGTCAATATAAAACCAAAGGAGATGGATGGCAGAGGCACCCGTGGGCTAAAATCCAGTACAGATCACAGCAACATAATAAAAAAAAAAATGAGGCTTTCTTTGAGGGAAAATAACTATCCTGACGTTAAGCTAGTTTAATGTGCAAGAAGAATTAGCTAACTCCTCATTTCTCGTATCAAAATCACTGCAGTAAATGGTTGCATTAAAGGAGCCAGGACTGAAATGGAATGGTTAATGGAGAATTCTCACTGAAAAAAATCACTTCTGCTTTGCAAGCTAAAAAAAAAAATCCCAAATCACGCCTCTATTCAATAATTTTCTTGCCAAAATAGGCTGGCTTAGTATGAGACTAAGATGTTTCATGACTCATGACTATTAAACAGATCCACTTTGGGGGCTTGTAGTTTTTAAGAAAGAAATCAATGCCTTACAACTCTCCCAATAGCTAAGGCATTTACTTCACCATTTAAATCCCTTTTCGACCAACCCTAAAAATCTACAACTACAAGAATGTTGTTGTTTTAACCATTCAGTTGTATCTGACTCTTGGTGGCTTTATATGCAAGTGCTCTCTATGCCACCCTGTCAATCACAGCTTCTTTCAGTTGCTGGATGTTCAACTTTGCATCAGATTTGAGGTTATCGAGCCAGCATGTTCTTTGCTTGCCCCTTCTTCTTCTTCCACTAATCCTGCCTAGCATCGTTGCCTTCTCCAATGAATTAGCACCAAAAAGAATAAAAATATTTCAACTTCCACCTATTCAAGGGAGGGTTTGCCCACTCATGACCCAAAGTAAAATAGCTCCAAAAAGCTGAATTTAAGCCTTCCTGTTTAGTAGAGTCAGATCTGCAATTTCTCCTCTTCCAGGAAACCAACCATCTAGGACTTTTCCACAATCCCTTTCATGGAATTACAAATATCGTGACCCAACCATCCCTCTAAGTCAGCTGCTGTCATCTTACTGCACCTCAAGAGATGTGAGATGATTGAAGGACACAGGAACAGAGCCAAAGGGGGAAAACTCTGCTATGCGTTGACGCTGCAAATGAGCAAGTTCAGGCGAGAGGGAATCTGTCTTGGGAGGGAGCAACGTAATTTTTATTTATTGTTCACATTTCTGAACCGACCTTCTCCCTCAAAGAGGGACGCCGGATGGCTTACAGTAAAATGTAAATATAAAATATAAAGATATATAAAAACAATGCCGCAATCTCCGTAACTCACATGTATCGATGGCCACCAGGGACTCGTCAAAGTCATCCTCATCGTCTTCTGCCGGCGGCTGAGGAGATCGACCCCTGGAAGAGAGGCAGCAAACGGAGCTTCCGTAAGCCCATTTGAGGCAAACTGCAAGAGACCTAAGACTTATATACCGCTTCACAGGGCTTTTACAGCCCTCTCTAAGCGGTTTACACAGTCAGCCTCTTGCCCCCAACAATCTGGGTCCTCATTTAACCCACCTCGGAAGGATGGAAGGCTGAGTTAACCTTGAGCTGGTCAGGATCAAATTCCAGGCTGTAGTCAGTTAGCCTGCAATGCTGCATTCTAACCAGAGCCACCACGGCTCCGTCATACACACACACACATGTAATACACATATACACAACAGTATATATGTATGCCTTAACAAAAAAGCTTTATCAGATGAGAATCTGCATTTACAAAGATGTTATAAAACCAGTGTTCATTTCAGCCAGATATATATGTTACTTTAAAGCTTAAGGCTAGAGATCAGGTAAGAAACAGCCACTCTTCGTGCCCCATTTCTCATCTGATCATGCTTAGAATCTTTACAACTTTACTACAGTCAAGCGCTGTTTGCCAAGACGGAGAAATAGATGAAGAGAATAGAATGCCTGTGACAAAATCCCAGGTGCCTTCCCTCAAAGACACCTCTGGGCTCATTTCCTTTCCGGAGCAGTTTTGGGAAAAAATAAAACAAGCTAGATGAACGACGTAAGTGCCCCAAATCCTCGTCTGAACGTACCTTTTATCCTCGCGATATTCATAATATCCACGCCCCCTGGACTCGTCAAAGGTCCTCTTGTGGCCTTGCTGTGGCTGCTGCTGCTGTGGCTGCTGCTGCTGCTGCTGCTGCTGCCAGGGCTGATAGGAGTCTGAGGTGTTATACCCAGAGGGGGGCGCATTGTAAGAGGAAGCTGAGGCATTGTAGCCAGGAATGGAAGAACTGTAGTTGGAGGGGGGTGCGTTGTAACCAGACGCCGATATGTTGTGGCTGGGAGCGGCCTCCTCTTCCTTTACTTCTGTCTTCATTTCTGCATTTTAAGCACAACGTGCACATTTCAGCAGGGAAGGAAATCCGTGCGGAAAGGAAACAGCCGCTGCTGTTTACTCTGAAAAAGCCAGCAACCCTTGCCCTAACTACAAGAGAAAGCTCTCTTTCAATTTCACTACCAAATGACTTGGCCCCGAGCCAGCCAATGGTTAAGAACCAGGGAAGAGAGGATCAGCAATAAAAAACTGGTGAGGAAATTATCATCGGGTTGATGTGCCAGAACCAAAAGCATCTATTTAATCGCCCCTCCCTTAATTTTCTTCGCTTCTGCTCTTAAGATCCGCGGGTTCTATTATTAGAATAAGACAGAGATACGATCAAGATAACAAGGAGAGGGATGTTCAGGCAGAGAATTCCAAGGGGAACAATGTAATATTCAATTAGGGCAGCGATCCCAAGCGGAGACGAAAAGAAAACAAGATGTGTTCCTCACCTGACTGTGGTTTTTTTTTTAAAAAGGGAGAAGATAAAAGGTCCACAATAAACAGGAGAAAACTCCATTACATTTCCCTTAATAGAAAATGCAGCAAAGTGAAAACGATACAATGAGCTAACAATATGATTCCCTTAGTGGGGAAAAAATATAACAGAAGTCTTATCATTGAACAATATGCAGATCTTTTACACGTAGGTAGTCCTCGACTTATGGCCGTCATGCATGAGTCAGTTGCCAAGCACCTAAATTTTGATCCAAGGGCCAGGGGGATATTGCAATGATTGCTAAGTGTGAAAAACGGTCGGTTTAAGTCGGTTTTCCCCAGCGCTGTCGTAATGTCCAACTGTCACTAAATGAACCGTTGTAAGTCGAGGACTACCTGTGCTACATATTGGCACACTTCACCAGTAAAAAGCATCTATGTTCCCTACCTCTATTTTTTTTTAAAACGCAAAAAACAACTGAGGCATTCCAGCAGTGCTACTTCAAAACTTCCTACCCGACCACTCTTTGGTCAACAAAATAATGAAGGCTTCCCTCACCCACCACCCCACTTACCTGATCGATCTTGGCTTACAGATCCCCGCTCGTAACCCAACTCGTTCTCCTGTTTAATATTGAAATGCTCAAAAGACTGATATCCTTGCCGGTTGTCTTGGCGAGTGTTGTCACGGATGCCATCTTGAAAACAGGAATCAAAAGGAAGATTAGCGCCACTGTTTCGTGCTACTTTGGAAAAGAAAGAAAGAAAGAAAGAAACCCATGTTCCTGTTTTTCTTTCACCGTCAGCAAGTGGTCGGGCTCAATGGAGTGAGCGGCAATCCCAGCCAGCCCAACCCAGACTTACCTGGAACGTCTGCGGAAGAGTGTATACCTTTAGCGCAATTAAGGGGCTGAATCTTTTCCCGGAGTACTGCAATTCAAGATGCAGATGGGGAGGGCAAATGGCGGGGTTTCGTGTGAGAATGCCCCATCCTGAAAACCAGCTTGCACAGTATTGTGTGGCAGACTGAAATGCCAGAGAGGAGGTTATTCTGCTGCTGTTTTTCCTCTGAATACGACTCCCACCCCAGGGGAGGGTGAAAATAGTGCTGCTAAGGAGAGGGTTTGCTCCTTGATTACGGCAAGGCTGAATGCCAAGGCTGAACAACACAGGAAACCGGAGGGTGCAGCATGTCCTCTGCATCACACACAAAATTGTGCTTGATGTAGAAAAAAAGCCAAAACCCTGTATTTTAAGCCCAAAGTGAATCACAGGTAGAAAGCTGCCCTCTTAGATTTGGTGCATTTATCTACCTTGTTTGATATTGGCTGGAATATTGCCTTGTTGTGATATCTGTACGTTAACCAAAGAAATAACAGAGTTAGAAGGAACCTTGGAGGTCTTCTAATCTAACCCACTTCTCAAGCAGGAGACCTTGGTCTACACCATTTCAGACAAGTACCTGTCCACTCTCTTCTTAAACTTCTGGAGGCAATAATTGTTCTGTCAGGAAATTTCTCCTTAGATCTAGGTTGCTTCTCTCCTTGGTGACTTTCCATCCATTGCTTCTCATCCTGCCTTCAGATGCTTTGGAGAATAGGCTGACCCCCCCCCCTCTACTTTGTGGCAACCCCTCAAATATTGGAACACTGTTATCATGCCACCCATAGTCCTTTCTTTTCACTAGAGTAGCCAAACCCAATCGGCCAGTTCATATATATATATATTATTTAGCATATGGCATAAGATAAAATGGACAGCAGCAGTAAAGATGCATGGAAAGAATGCACGATAATATGATATACCTAAGTTGGAGATGTGGTCAATTTTGCAAGGTATAAGAGATTCAGTTCAGAATAAATAGGTGATCAATTGCTAAAATCGTTGGAATCCTAAGTAGGTATCAATTGCACTGTCTTTACACCTTCAGGGGCATGCTAGATGCTCCCTGGAGATCCTGTGGGTCCCTTTCCAAGAAGCAGCTGTGCTGAAGCTTCCCTTAAGGCAAGAGGATCCCAGGCATCGCCTGGCAACAAAGGGTGGCATCAGGGAAAACAAATGCCCAGATGCCATAAAAATACACTTGGCACTTTGGGAGTCAAGTAAAGTCCTGGTAAAGTACAGCCTGGATTGCCCAAAGGCCTCCTGGGCTGAGAGTGGGATGTCTCACTGAAGTGGGATGTCTCTATGGAGATTCTCAGTCTTCCAGGTCATGTTCTTCCAAAGGTTTTCTTTCTTTCTTTCTTTCTTTCTTTCCCTTCCTTCTTTCTTTCCCCAAATGGCAACTGGGTTTTGCTTCTCCTCCAAGGAGCTTCCTCGGTTCTTTAGTTCAACTGAAGAAGGTTCTTGGATGAGGAAAAACTAAGTCCAGTTGCCTTTTTTTGGGAAGGGGAAAAAAGCACTTTGGGGACTCTTCCGTGGAAGCATCCACGGGTTTGGCGGGAGGGCCGGAGGAAGGCCAGTCTGGGGAAGGAGAAAGCGGCGTTGGGTCATCGGCGGCTGTCCGGATCCCCGGTCACCTCCCCCGTGGACCTTGCAGCCCGGATCTCCCCAGGGAAGGCCACTCGGGCCTGGCACTGATCTCTCCCGAGAGACCCATCATTCCCTGCCCCATGTTCCTCAGCGACAGGCTGCTTCGTACGACCCATGCTTCTGGCAGACCCATCCTCCCCAGCGAGGGGTTGTGTGTCTCCTCACTGGCTTACGTTCCCCAGTGATGGGCTGCTCCCATGCTCCCCGGAGACCCATCCTCCACAGCATCGCGGTGTCCTCAGTGACCATGCTCCCCGGCCATCACATCCCCCCTCAAGAGACCCGTCCTCCTCACCTAGGATTTTCTCCTCACAAGCCCATGCTGCCCGGGCGGAGCTTCCCCGGAGATCCATCCTCCCCAACGAGCGGGAGGTCACATTCCCTCGCCCCCCAACCCGGCGAAGACCCATCCTCCCCAGCTCTAACGCCCCCCGACACCCATCCTCCCCAGCAATAGACGCCTCCTCACAGGTCCATGTCCCCACAACGACTGCCCGCCTCGTATAACCCATGCTCCCCGGAGACCCATCCTCCCCGGCGAAGGAGCGTCTCTCCCCACAGACTGTAACATCCGACCCGGAGACCCATCCTCCCCGGCCAGCCGTGTCGCCTCCCAGGCCCGCCCGCGGTCCCCTGCCTCGCGGGGCCCATGTTCCCCGGCCCATGTTCCTCGCCGCGCGACCTTCTCTCCTCCCAGGCTCGCTTACAGTGTCCGTCGGAGAGCGACTCTCCATCCGAGCCCGAGCCCGACGCTCCTCGGGCCTGCTCGGCTTCTAGGGCCGCATGCAACCTCCCAGCCAGCTCAGCCTTGAGCCCGCGGGTGTCGAGGCCACGGCGGCCGAGCTCCTCCTTCAGCTCGCTGACGCGCAGCCTCCGCACATCCATGGCGCGCTCAATCCCGGCCACAGGGTCGCCGTTGCCCGGCCATAGGGGCTCCGTTCCGGGCTCGGCTCAAAATGGCCGCTCTCCCTTAACCCCCGCCATGCAACGGGCTCTCCGGTTGGCCGACCCGGCGGTGGGCGAATAAGAGGCGCTCTCTGATTGGAGAAAGCGCCCTCCTCCCTTTTGCCCCCCTCCTCTCTCTCCCTCCGTCTCCCGCTCATTCCCTGCCTGTAAAAGGAGCTCGCGCATTGGACAGAAATAAAGGTCAGTCTATAAAGAGCATCACCATTGGTTGAGAAGGGCTCGTTTCCTTCCCCGCCTTCACTTTCTCTGAAACTGCTCAGGGAAAGCCGAGGGGAGGAAAAAAACAACTGAACTGACGAACGATGGGGAGGGACTAAGGTTCCTGAAGGCGAATCCCCGAGGCCTCTCCCTTCCTAACTTCTCATTGGCTGAAAGCCCGACTTGTTTGTACTGTTATGTGGAGGCATTTCCCACCCTCTCTTTTCTAATTGGCTGAACCTCCCTCCCTCCGTGGGGATGATGGGAATTGAAGTTCAACACATCTGGAAAACAACAAATTAGGAAAAAGTGACTCAAGGCCAAAATGAGGGGTGTTTAACCCCCCCCCCGCAAATACCTCTTTATATTTACATCCTCTATAAAGATATATAACATTTGAACGTCATATATTAAAATATATACTACACACAAACTTATGTAACATTTTATATTATATATAACCTGCATTTCTCTTAAATGGAGGTCATTATGAATTATGCAACTGTAAAAGCAACATTGCCCCCAAATCGAGCATAACCTAGCCAAATACCTAGTAGAGTTTATTTTCCCTACTGAACAAAATGGAATTTGAACGTAGAGTAACTTTGTCTAGATGGGGCTCAGATTTAGATATTGAACTTGTTGGAAGAAATATCCACCTGTTTCAGTTCCAAGCCGGGAGAAAGACACTGGAAACATGGAGATTGATTGGAAAGATGGTTTAATGTGGAAGCAGAACCACATGGAGTTGAGAATGAGGGGTATTTATACCTTCTCGGGCTTTGCACTTGAGCTTTCTGTTCCTGTGCAAGAACATGTATTCTATTGGTTGTTGTAGGGGCCACAGCTAACTTTGTAGGTTGTCTGAGCTCCCAGGTTTGGTTGAAGTTCGGACTGCAGATACAATGAAGGGGCTTGTTGGGCAATTCCTGTTGTGGCTGAGGGCTCACCCTACCTTTCTTCAGACCTTGCTGAAGGGAATTTTTGCCTATAAATAGAGCTATCTATCTCTTTATTGATTGTTTCCTAGTATGATTTGATTGCTTATTGTACCCTATGACTATTATTAAGTGTTGTACCTTATGATTCTTGACTCTTGACAAATGTATCTTTATTTTATGTACTGTGACAGCATTTGCACCAAGACAAATTCCTTGTCCAATCACACTTGGCCAATAAAGAATTCTATTCTGTTCTATTCTGTTTATCTCTTAAGTGCTGGCATCTGCTGAGAGCTATTAAGAGAGCTGTCTCCAAGAGCATATTTCTCCCTTTAGGGAACTATATTATTCTGCCTTTTTAATATTTCCTAAAATATTTCATAGGAGAGGGGTGGGTGCTAACTTTCTACAAACTAAACCATGATTTAATAATAAACCACAGCTTTCTAGTTGACAATGCTTAGCACAAGATGATGATGCTAGTTGATATATCACTTTAAGCACTGGGGCTATGTTGTCTGAAAATTCTGGGAAGTGTAGTTCCAACACATCTGGTGGTGTAAATTTGGGAAATCTTAAGAGCATTGTACCTCAACCTTAAGAGCTGTGAACTTCAACTCCCACAGCATCTGGCTGGGGAATTCTGGGAGTTGAAGTCCACATCTCTTAAAATTGCCGAAGTTGAGAAATATGGAATTTGAGTATTTCTACATTGCAGAAATTTAACCACCAGAGGGTAGCATCGTAACAGCCAGACCAGCAATGAGATATTTCCAATCTGATTTTTGTCCTCTTCAGGCTAAAAACCTTTCTCGGGATAATTGGAGCTCTCCACAGCTCCTTATATTGAGCTCAGGATTCAAAGATCCAGCTCCTGTAAGAATCCTGTAATTCTGGGTAAATTGGAAAGAAACCACCAGCTGCAAGATGGATAGACTTTATTATAGCGGCAGTGAATGAACCCTGAGAGACCCTTTAAAAGACCAGGTTGAAAATATATCTTCTTACAGAAAATCTATGTCAGGGGTCTCCAACTTTGGCAGCTTTAAAACTTGTGGACTTCAACTCCCACAATTCCTCAGCCACCCATGCTAGCTAAGGAATTCTGGGAGTCGAAGTCTACAAGTTCTGAAGTTCCCAAAGTTGGAGACCTCCTTAATCTATGTGGTAACTAAATATTAACACCAACTTGATAGCACCTAACCAACCGACCGACCAAACTGGGTTAGGGCCCATTCCTTTTCCTTCAAGTGAAGGAGGATTGGGATTTGTGTCTTCATCACCATGTTGATTTTTTTATTTTTTATTTTACCATGCCCTTCGCACACCTCTGACTGAAACGGATGTATCGATTGAAAGTAAATCCTGTTTCCCTATTTCCCTATTCTGTATGTATTCACTTCCTCTCCTTTTAAAGTTTCCTACTCATCTTACTTCCCCATTGACAGTCCGAGAAACAGAAAATCCCCCTTTAAGGACTCTGGGGCTGACTGGAAAAGAGTTCAACCCCGATTAAGAGGAATGTGTTTGGGGGAGATGAGAGTTTCCCCCTTGCTAAATGGACTTCCTTGTTTCTCTGTTGACTTGCTGGGCTGGATTCAAGAATAGTTCTAGGAAGCCGTCTTGAATGTGCCTATTGATGGTGCATTTGCCTGGCAAGGAGAGGGGGAAAACAAGGGATTATTCCTCCCACCCACCCACCCACCCCGCTTCCAATACACATTGCATTGGTCCCTTCCATTGGTGCCTTCACTGCTCCAGCATCCTCCCCAATCATGCGATGAAAATCCACATTGCATTGGTTTTTAAGAATAAGCAAGGCTTCCCAGCTCAGCTACCAATGGAGATGTTGAGACCCTGGAACAAGGGTCTCCAAACTTGGCAACTTTAAGACGGGTGGACTTCAACTCCCAGAATTCTTGAGCTAACATGACTGAAGGAGAAATTCTGGGAGTTGAAGTCCACAACTCTTAAAGCTGTCAAGTTTGAAGACCCCTGAGTGGAGAGAAGAGCAACAAAGATGATCATGGGTGTGGAGGCTAAACTGCATGCTGCACAATTGAGGGAACTGGAAGAAAGAAAAACTGGGGTGACATAATAGCAGCATTGGAATAGCTAACGGGTTTGCCACAAAGAAGAGGGGGTCAACCATGGCAAAAACAAAGGTTGTAAAATTGGGCGTGACTCATTTAACAACTGACTTGCTAGGGAAATTTGTGGTCCCGATTGTGGGCATAAGCCGAGGACTACTCAGTGCATGTTTCAAGCCTTCTTCCCCGCCCCTCCCCATAACTTCCTTGCCCCCTGAGCAATTAAAACTTCAGGACCAGATTATCGCCTCTGTTATTTATTTATTTTTTTTTAAAGAAAGTTTTTATTTATAAGCAAAAATATACCACAGAGCATTCTCTAAAAACAGACCTGAGTGGAAAATGCATTTTTACAAAAGTAATGAATGGGGGGAAAAAACCATTTCATATACAGCATTTTTTTTCTTTAAAAAGTATATACATTTATATATATATTTATTTATCTATATAATATATATAAAAAAAATCATTAATAAGAATCTAAAGGAAAATAATTCACTGGGCTGTGTGCACGTCAGCTCGATAGACTGTAATCTTAATGTAATAGCAGATAATGTCAAATAACACAACAGGTACAAGGAACGTCAAAAGAGTAAGGAGGTGTGTTGCATGTTTAAAAAGGGGGGCAGGGTTTAAGACATGCTGGCTGGGGCATTCTGGGATTTGAAGTCCACAGGTTTTTAAATGGCCACGGTTAGACAGCCCTGCTTTTTAGACCAGCAGAAAACACCTCCTTTCTCCAATCTGGCCGTTCCTTACAGATTCCCCGAAAAGGAAGGCGAGATTGCATCAATGCATACTGGCAAGTAGAATGGAAAATATGATTTTTGCAGCTGGAATAAAGTCCCGGAAAATAGGACTCAACGGCAGGGAAGGAGTTTTCTCAAAGAGGTTGGCATTGCACAATTCTATCTGCTTGTCCAAAGCTGAAACTCGACACGGAACCAGGGATGCAACTCTCACTTTGAAAAAAATGAAGCTGTTGAGTGACATAAAATTGGGGAGTGGGATGCCAACCCCCCCCTTTTGTTCTTAGCAACCCCTCTCCAGGTAGGAAAATAATTTCTGAGACTGGAACTGCTGTAACTAAAATCAGGCCTGGGCCCACCTAGCTGTTTGTGGAAACCTTAACTCGGTGCCTACGTTAACCACTTTTTCAAACAAGAGTCAGTTAGTTTCAGTTTCAAAAGGCTTGAGGGTTACAAATCAAGGATCACCCCATCCCCAAACAGCCAAACCGAAGTCCAAACTAACTAGATTAGCAAATGGGCCAAATGCTGCTCTCTAGGTGTGGTCTGTAACCAGTAGTCCGAAGATACGGTGGCTGCCCATACATTTGCTCGTAAATGTTGTGTTTCCTCACAACGGGGATAAAGAACAGCCCCCCCCCCCATTGTGGGGCTGGGTTTCTCAGCCTTGGCACCTATAAAATGTGTGGACTTCAGCTCCCACAATTCCCCAGCCAGGATGCTAGCGAGCTTTAAGATGTGTGGCCTTCAGCTCCCAGAATTCCCCAGTCTGTCAATGCTGGCTGGGGAATTCTGGGAGCTGAAACCCAACACATTTTAAAGATGCCAAGACTGAGAAATTACTGCTTTGTATGACACAATCGGCTACATGCAAGCTGTCGGGTAAGATTATCGCCATTTGGCAAGGATTGTGCAGGTTAGGTTTTTTTCCCAGGACAGCAAAACGGCAAAGGAGAACTGATGCTGGTGGTTATTTCCATCTTCCTGCAGCTGTTGAAGGTTCGAGGCTTTTCCAGGAAGAAACCTCCCCCCCCCCCTCACAGCAAAGAAGAACGGAGGGGTTAGGAACGTATTTTTTTAACCATCTTGAAGTCCTCATCTGGGTAGGCCCTGGAGGCCTTTAAGAAGAGATCAGAGGGCTGGACTAGAAGATCTTCCAAGATCCCTTCCAACTCTTGTTCTTCTGTTCTGGCTCCCCCCCTCCTTTGTCTTTGCAGGAGAAGGATCCTTGGTCTCCCCAGAGATCAGCTTTTGCACTGTTCAGGTATGGCTGAAATAAAATGCCGGCAAGTCGTCTCAAGAATCGCATAAGCTAATGGAAGAAACCCTGAAGTTGCCATGAGAGTAGAACAGTCTGAATGTTCCTCTTGGGAATTCAGTTCAAGAGCCAGATGTGTGTGTGTGGGGGGGGGGGCAGAAATATTTATTGAGAAGCACCCGGGATATAAAAGTTCACCTGATTAAAAAAAAAAAAAAAAGTATTACTCTGCTCCATTCAATCTCAGGTTTGGATTGATGCCCTCTTTTCATTTGTCCTTGGTGTCAAGTCAAGGGTGATGAGCAGAGAATCGTGGCAGTGAAACAGCTGGAAATAAAACTAGGAAGGGGGTAAGGAACCAGAGGGAGCAAGCTACGGAGTACATATAGCTCTTAACTTACAATAATTTGCTTAGCGGCCGTTTGAAGTTACAACCACGCTGAAATATGTGATTTATGACCATTTTTCACACTTATATAACCGTGGCAGCCTTCCCGTGGTCAATTTGGATGCTTGGCCGCGGACTCCTAGTTATGACAGTCGCCGTATCTCCCTTTGCGACCGTCTGACCAGATTCGCTTAACAGCCAATTTAAACGACGGCAGCGGCGAGTGTGTGGCGAGAAAGGGGCTACAATGGGAGGGTGAAAAATCCGCTCAGCGACGGAAAGGTTGGGGGTCAATGGCAGTCATTTAAGTCAAGGGGCTACCTGTATTCCCATTGGGAGGAACGGAAGGAAAAGGCCGACCTGGGGCTTGCTTGCGTTCACACAACGTCCTTCATCTGGTTACTGAATTAACCTTTGGGTGGGATTCACATAGTGACAGAGATGGGATTCAGTCGGTTCGGACTGGTTCTGGAGAACCGATAGCGGAAATTCTGAGTAGTTCCGGGAACCGGCCAATCCCGCCTCTGACTGGCCCTGCCCCCATCTATTCTCCGCCTCCCAAGTCCCAGCTGATTGGCTGGGTCTCCTTTTGTTGCCTTGCACAGGAGAACGGAGCTGGAAAGCAGGTTAGTTGGGTGGGGAAGGAATGGGGATTTTACAGTATCCTTCCCCTACAACACTCGCCAAGCCACGCTCACAGAACTGGTAGTAAAAAAAAAATTGAATCCCACCACTGCTGACAGTGCCCCAGAACTGTAAACAAATTAAATGGTTTGGACCTACTAATGCAGACATCCACAAATCCCTACTCTTTAGGTTAAAACAATCTAAGCTTAGCTGGTTGTATGAATGCAACTTCTAGAGATCTTTAGTTTACTGGGTTGGGGGAATATCACTCATGGAGGACATTTAGAGAGTAAAATTTGCCCCCCAAACCTTCACAGACAGGATGCCTGGGTTTGCACCCTAATATGAACAGGATTAGCTTACATCCTAGCGTATCTTATTTTGACTTAAACACGCTGTACAAACCCAGCCTTTTGGTAAACCATATTTATGCTTTTGTAAACCATGATTTACGGTTGAGGGCAATATTCCTCCACCTTGACGACTTGGATATGGTTGGTCTTCAACTCCCAGAATTCCCTAGCTGGCCATGCTACCTTCTGCCGGCTGGGGAACTCTGGGAGTTGAAGTCCACCCACCTTTGAGTCACCATGGTTGAAAAAAAACATGGCTTAGAGTGACATCAGAGCCAATTAGCCATCCGGTAAGACCAACAGCGTTAAGAGAAGAGTGGCCCAAAACAGCAGGTGAATCTAGCCCATTATTGGAAGGTGTATAAGCTTAAAATGACTTCTGGGAAAATTTAACATTGTGGTTTGTTTGGGTTTTTTTCATTCTGATGGAGCAAACCACAGCTCAGAGCAATTTCTGCACCGGGCTGCTTGCGTAATAAATAGCACAAAGGAGTAGAAGATGGTGATTGTGACAATTGGGAAGGGGAGAAAGGCAGCCAAAGGGAGATCCGGTGGGTCTCTTCCCTTCAGAAGTGGGAGAGAGGACGGGAGGGGAGGGGGAGGCAACCTCTATCCTGCCATGTTAACCCCTCCCCACCGGCTCTCGAAAAGGACTCTGTCGCGCACCCCGTCTTGGCATCCGCTCCGAGTCCGTGGGTTTGCCTTGAAGGGGAGCAAGAAGGAATGCTGGGCCTAGAGAGGGAGAAAGAAGAGGAGGGGGCGACGATGAGACCCACGCAAGGGGTGGCCTGCTGGAAACCCACTCTGGCCCAGGTGAACTGGAACAGGTAAGGAGGACCTCAATTTGTGGGCGCAGGTCAGCGGAGTCAGGTGGGAGTGAGATCCCTCGGGTGAAGGATGTCCATGGGCCTCAAAGGTTTGTCTTTGGAAGCCCCCTCTTGGGGGCAGAGAGGTGGGGGGGGTGTCACCAAACAGGGTGCCTTCCAATTGGGTACATAAACACCCAATGGAGGGGTCTGCAGATCTTCCCTTTTTAGGCCCCTTCCTCAGTGGCGGCGCAGCTGAGGGCCTCGTTCAAGAGCCGGCTGTTCTCGTGGGGAGTGGGGCACATCACGTAGCGGCCCATGGCCTGTGGCGGGTGCACCTCGGCGGACGTCACCATGGCCTTCAGCAGCTGGCTCTCCTTGGCCAGGGATTCCTCGGGCCCCAGGCCTCCCACGGCGCCCAGCTCCACCTCGGCGGGGCCCACGCCATCGTCCATGTTGACATAGAGGATCTCCTCGGGGTCTTTGGGCGGTGGGAGTGACTTGAGGGTCTTCTCCAGCTCCTCAGACAGGATTTCGAAAGTGGGGCGGTCGCGGGGGTTCAGCGCCCAGCAGCTCGTCATCAGCTCATACCTGAGAGGAGAGGATGAGGGGAGCGGGGGAGAAGGACAAGAAGATGGAGACGTGGTTTCTGGAGAACAGATTCCCTCTGGGGATCTGCAGCAGGAGTCACCAATCTTGGCAACTTTACAACTTGTGGACTTCAACTCCCAGAGTTCCCCAGTCAGCATGCTAGAAGGAAGTGGGGCTTATAAATAGAGAGCAAACACTCCCTTCTAACACTGATTATGTTAGCTCGTCGGGTAATGAAACGTTTGCATGAAAACAACCAAGTTCTGAGAGCACCAAGGACCTGCAATATTTCTCCTCCTCCCCTCCTTCTCCCTTCTTGCATTGATGATGTTACCTAGTTTGGTAACGAAATGTCTGCAGGAAAATAACCAAGTTCCAAGAGCACCAAGGACCCCACAAATGTTTTTCTTTCCCTTGACACCCAAATTTTGGCTATGTCCCTTCCTCTCACCCCAACTTTATTGCTTCTCCTCTGGTTTCTTTCCAAAGTTTCTGGGAGTAGGATGCCAAACCTAGGTGGTACACACGCACACACACACACACACACTGTCATGCCCCTGATGGAGACTGACTCTGAGGGAGAGGAGGAACAGACGACAGGGAGTGAAAGTGTGGCTCCGGAGGTTGTGGAGGAGGCTGGGGAAGGGCAGAGGCCGGCTGAGCAGTCAGAGGAGGACCCAGACCCATCCCCTCTCCATCCTAGGGCACGCAGGGAGGAGAGGATAAAGGAGAGATGTGGTCTATGGGGGAGGAGAGGGCCTTGATCCCCTTCATGGGCTGCAGCTGTGACAACTGGATAAGAAGACAGACATGCATACGGGCAAGTGCTGGAAACAAAGCGTGGAAATATCTCTAGTTTATGGTTCAGTGTGTGTTATCTGTGGACGTCCTCCAGCCCTTATCTTGCCTGATTTGTGTTGCTTTTTCCCTTCTTCTTGTAACTGTGTGTGGGAGTTTTTTGGATTCCATCAAGGATATTTGGAGTTTGGAAGCAAAGTGAAGGAATAAAAGGGGCTTCACCTGTTTTCTGTGACTGTGTTTGTTTTGTATCCCACCCTGGGGCATCACACACACACATCTACCTCTCTCTCTCGTATGTATGTATGTATGTATGTATGTATGTATGTATGTATGTATGGTATTCAGCTTTGTTCGGGTATTTTCCCACGTCATTATAGTTGTGCTTTTAAAGTTGTAGCAACGTTTCGGCAGAATCTCATCTGCCATCATCAGGCTTCTGTATTGTGTTGTGAGTCAGACTTTTACAGTTGTTGTAACAACTGTTACTACATCTACATCTACACCTACACCTACACCTACGCCTACATCTACACCTATCCATCCATCCATCCATCCATCCATCCATCCATCCATCCATCCATCCATCCATCTATCTATCTATCTATCTATCTATCTATCTATCTATCTATCTATCTATCTATCTAAAAGAAGAGACAGACAATATCTGGAACTTAAACTATATTATCCACTTAACTTTTGTTAGCCTCTGCTAACATCATCAGAATGTAAAGACTACCATTGAAGAGATATTTGCCTTTATGCATCATTGATATGGCCACACATGAGGTATGTATTGTGTTAATATGGGCCTCCCACTGGGCCGCACGTTTAATATATGGATCGAGGTACTTATCTCTTGGCCCCTTATACAAACAACATTTGAGTCAGATCCAGGGTAGGGAAATGCGAACGCCTATATTTCTTGACAACAGGAGAAACTGAGGCAGAGATACTGTACTTACAGGCTATCCAGGCAGTCAATCGGCTGCTTGAGGCGGTTGCCTTGATGTAGGTAGTCGTAAATTTCACTGTTTTCCACCCCGGGATAAGGCGTCTGGCCTCGAGTGGCAATTTCCCACATGGTGACTCCAAAGGACCACTGCAGGGCAGAGATTGGAAGAAAGAAGATAAGGGAGGCAGAAGAAATCTGTAATCCAGGTGGAGCCCACATGCTCCCAGTGGAGAGATTGGAAGTTGGTTTCCAGCGGGAACGGAAAGTTAGCCCGATTTACTGGTGGAGACTCACCACGTCGCTCTTGGTGGTGTAAACGCGATCGGCCAGGCTCTCGATGGCGATCCACTTCACCGGCATCTTGGAGATACGACCTTGGCGGTAATAGTCACCGTTGTAGATCTTCTTGGAGAGGCCAAAGTCGGCCACACAGGCCGTCATGCTTTCGTTCAGCCTGCGGAGGGAAGGCGAAGGGCTCTTGAAGGAAAAGGCTTTGAAGGGTGAGGACAAGGGGACCGTGTGACAGGCAGAAGGAGCAAACCACCAGAGACAAGGCTCAGATAAAAGACATCTGAGCCCAGGGCAGAAACTCAATCTGAGGAAGCGTCCCAGACAAGACCGTTGTCAGTTCTCATGAAGATAAAGGGAGGAAACGCACTCAGACTGACAAGATTCTGAGTCGGATTGGTTAAGAGGTGAAGGCACCAGGCTGGAAACCAGGAGACGGTGAGTTCTAGTCCTGCCTTAGCCATGAAAGCCGGTTGGGAAAAATGGAGCCAATCACCAGGAGACTGTGAGTTCTAGTCCTATCTTAGCCATGAAAACCGGTTGGGTAAAATGGAGGCAATCACCAGGAGACTGTGAGTTCTAGTCCTATCTTAGCCATGAAAACCGGTTGGGTAAAATTGAGGCAATCACCAGGAGACTGTGAGTTCTAGTCCTGCCTTAGCCATGAAAGCCGGTTGGGTGATCTTGAACCAATTACCAGGAGACGGTGAGTTCTAGTCCTGCCTTAGCCATGAAAGCCGGTTGGATGATCTTCAACCAATCACCAGGAGACTGTGAGTTCTAGTCCTATCTTAGCCATGAAAGACGGTTGGGTAAAATTGAGCCAATCACCAGGAGACTGTGAGTTCTAGTCCTGCCTTAGGCAAAATAGCAGGCTGGGTAACTTTGGAACAATACCGGATGCTGAGAGTTCTAGTCTCATCTTAGGCATGAAAGCCAATTGGGTGACCTTGGGCCAATCACTAGGAGACTGTGAGTTCTAGTCCCGCCTTAGGCATGAAAGTCAGCTAGGTGACTTTAGGCCAATCTTTCCCTCCCAGCCGACTCCCACAGGGTTGTTTTTGTGGGGAAAATAGGAAGAGAAAGGAGTAAACGCTGGCTACCTTGACTTATTTACAAAAATAATAAAGGTGAGATCAAAGTAAACCAGATAAAAAGAAAATAAGTTATCATAAAAATAGTATTCACATGCATGACATATAGCAACATCCCTGCTGAACTCTTACATCGGACATTTAAGGAACCCTTTCAAACAGCTTGAATGACATCGTCGTGCACCCCAAGCCAAGAAGCGCCTGGACTTCAACTCCCAGAATTCTCAGCAAAGGCTGGGAAAGTTTGAGAACTGAGACCTCCAAATTTGGATGGTGCCGAACTGGATCCTGGTGGGGCCTCATTGCTGATCCCTGCTTCTAAATCCCGCTTTTTAGGGTTCCCCCCCTGTAGAAACTCACATGCAGTTGCGGGCAGCGAGGTCCCGATGAATGAAGTTCTTGCTGCTGAGGTATTCCATGCCACTTGCAATGTCCACCATGAATTTGACCAACATCTGCATGGGCAGGTACTGTGAAGGAAGAAGAACCCAATCAGAGGAGCGTCTATGGAGATTCCCTCCAGGTCCTGGTGGTCCCAAAGGGGCTTTTTTTTTCAAGAGGCAACTGGACTTCCTTGGTTTTCCTTTGAAGACGTTTCGCTTCTCATCCCAGAAGCTTCTTCGGTTCGGACTGAAGAATTCCATTCTCCACCATCCAGTCAGAGGGGAAGAAGTTCAGGGATGAGAAGTGAAACGTTTTCAAAGAAAAAACCAGAAAGTCCAGTTGTCTTTTGAAAAAAGCACCTTTGGGACAATCGGAGGACACCAACAAGGACTAGGCTATCATCTGATTTAACAGATTAACAGAGTTGGAAGGGGTCTTGTTAGATCATCTAGTCCAACCCGCCACCCAAGCAGGAGACCCTACGCCATTTCTGACAGGTGGCCGTCCAGTCTCTTCTTGAAAGCCTCCAGGGATGAAGCTCCCACAACTTCAGAAGGCAACTTCTATTCCATCGGTTGATTGTTCTTGCTGTCAGAAAATTTTCTCCTTATTTCCAGGTTGAATCTCTCCTTGTTCAGTTTCCATCCATTGATCGTTGTCTGGCCTTCAGGTGCTTTGGAAAATAGCTTGACCCCCTTCCTCCTCTCTGTGGCATCCCCTCAAATATTGGAAGGCTGCTATCATGTCCTTCTCTTCCCTAGATTAGCCATGCCCAGTTCCTGCAACATATGTTTTAGTCTCCAGTCCCCCAATCATCCTGCTTGCTCTTCTCTGAACTCTTTCCGGAGTCTCAACATCTTTTTTATAACGCGGTGACCAAAGCTGGATGCAGTACTCTAGGTGTGGTCTTACTAAGGCTTCATAGAGTGGTATTAGTACCTCACTTGATCATTATTGTATCCCTCTGTTAATGCAACTTAGGATTGCATTGGCCTTTTTGGCTGCCGCTGTACACTGTTGGCTCGTAGATAGCTGGTTGTCCACTAAGACAACTAAGACGGTCCATTGTTTTAGGGCTAAGAATCAATGATCCTGCAAGATTGCTACTCACCACAGGGCTCTCCCCAAGCCGCGAGTACAGCAGGAAGCTGTGTAGATCTCCATGTTTCATGAATGGCAGGATGACCACAGGGGACGGGTAGCCTTCGCTTTCTGTGTTCTGCAGGCAGACGCCTTCAGGAGAGGCAAAGGGGACATTTGTAAATTCTCTAAATTAAAGCAGAAGAAGACAGTGGGGTCCTTGGTGCTCTCTGAGCTTGGCTGTTTTCTTGCAAACGTTTCATTACCCCAAACTAGGTAACATCGCTGAGCACGGATGATGTTACCTAGCTGGGTCATGAAAACGTCTGCAAGAAAACAGCCAAGCTCAGAGACAATCCCTCAGCACCCTTCCTCTTTTTCCTCCCCTTCTTCACCTCCGGAAACCCCCTTCCCGTCTAGCCCTGAGGATGTTACCTAGCTGGGTCATGAAACGTCTGCAAGAAAACAAGCAAGCTCAGAGGGCACCAACGACTCCTCATTTCAACCCCGAGCTACAAATATTATCTTTGATCAAAAGACAGACAGACTGACACAGAAGAGAAAGGAAGGGGCTGGCTTCCCTCTCGCGAAACCATGATTGTTATGGTTTATTCACTTGCACTTAGCATGCCGTGTGAGACCAGGTATTGCGGTTCACAAACACACCACGAAATTGTTCAGCACCACGAATCTCAAAAATAATAATAATAATAATAATAAAACAAATCCAGATGGGTGATTTTCATGCTACACTAGATCTATTCAGCTGAGGTTCATTGCAAACCTGTTGAAAAGCGTTTAAAAGGATCAGGGGAAAGCTACAAGAAGCTCTTCTCCTTCCCTTCCTGATCCTAAACTGACCCTTTCACTGTTTAATTATCCTAACTGTCAGCCAATTTCCCCTTAATTCCAGGCTGCTTTCTCTCCTTGGTTAGTTTCCATCCGTTGCTTCTTATCCTGCCTTCTGGTGCTTTGGAGAATAGCTTGACTCCCTCTTCTTTGGGGGCAGCCCCTGAGATATTGGAACGCTGCTATCATGTCTCCCCCACCCCCAGTCCTTCTTTTCATTAAACTATTCTATTCCCAATTCCTGCAATCGTTCTTCATAGGTTTCAGCCTCCAGTCCCCTAATCATTGTCTTTGCTCTTCTCTGCACACTTTCTAGAGAGCCTCGACATCTTTTTTAAATTGGGCCGACCAAAATGGATGCAACCCTAATGTTATTTTGACAGTGATCCTCTTTAACAGGAAACAGGGGGCAGGGGGGAAAAAAAAGGGACAGGGGAAAAGAAAAAAAAAGAGGAGGGGAGAAACTGAGTGAGAAGGTCCCACTTGTCTGCCTTCCAAACCCCAAAACAAGCCTGAGTTGCATTAGCTGAGCTTCCCGCCCACCCGTCTGTCAGCTCCGTCCCACAATCTTGCCAACATCTGTTTTCCCAAATAATGTTGTCTCATCCCTCCCGCTCACAGCTTCATTCCCCCCCAGGGGACAGTCTGTCCTTTCTGCTTTTCCCCAGCCCAGTCTCTCTCTCTCTCTCTCTCTCCCCAACTCCTTCCCAAAGCCCAGGCAGTTTCCTTTCTTTTCCATCTAAACATTATTTTTTTTCTCCAGCTAAACATTATTATTTTTTGCCCCTGATGGAATGAGCAAAGGTGAGCTTTGCAGGTCTGTCTGGGTTGGGCTGCTCTCCCCCCCTCTCCGCTCTCCGCCCCATGCTGGAAATTGTAAATCTGGCCCACGATTGGATGTCAATCCCAGTCTGGGAATTTACTGAGAGGAGGAAGTACGCAGACGAAGGGAGAGGCAGGCCGTAAGGAAAAGAGGTTAGGTAAGCTGACGTGCTCAAGGCGAGTTGGAATCGCTAGAGCAGCATTGCTCAACCTTGGCAAGTTTAAGGTGTGAGGGTTTCAACTCCCAGAATTCTCCAGTCAGTATGCTTGATTTCAACTCCCAGAATTCCCCAGCTGGCATCAGAGGTGGGATTCAGCCGGTTCGGACCAGTTCTGGAGAACCGGTAGTGGAAATTTTGAGGAAATTAGTTAGCGGAAATTAGTTCGGAGAACCAGCAAATCCAGCCTCTGACTGGCCCCACCCCCATCTATGCTCCGCCTCCCAAGTCCCAGCTGATTGGCTGGGTCTTCTTTGGTTGGCCTGCACAGGAGAACGGAGCTGGAAAGCAGGTTAGTGGGGTGGGGAGGGAATGGGATTTTGCAGTATCCTTCCCCTGCCATGCCCACCAAGCCATGCCCGCAGAACCGGTAGTAAAAAAATTTTTTGAATCCCACCAATGGCTGGCATGCTTGGACTTCAGCTCCCAGAATTCCCCAGGCAGCTTGCTTGGACTGGAGCTTATTACATAGAATAACAATAGGGTTGAAAGTGACCTTAGAGGTCGTCTAGCCCAACCTCCTGCTCAAACAGACCCTGTAACATTCTGGACAAATTTCATCCAGAGTTTTGGGTTGTCAAAATGCAGGTGTGCCACCTCTTGAGTCTTCTTATAGCTTCTTTAAAGACCCTTTGCAGAAAAGGTGACGAACAAGGTAATTAACTATCTCCAGAAAGGGCAATGGACACCCGGACCTTACTCCAAGTCCTACTTCTCCTGCTACTCCTACTTGCTGGCTGGGGGATTCTGGGAATGGAATTAGAATTAGAATAGAGCTGGAAGGGACCAGTTGCTCTGAGTTGAAGTTCACACTTCTGAACATTGTTGGAAATTGATAAACATTTTCCTATACTCTTAGCTGTCTTCAGGATGGGTTGGGGCTCACAGAAATTGTGATCCTACCCAAGTATGGATTGGCAGATCTACATTCATCCTCTTTTTGTGGCTCCAAGATTGGGGAACACTGGGCCCCTGCAAATGCATCTGTCTCTTTCTCTCTCCTTCCCTTTCTCTTTTTTTCATATATATATAAAATGTTTCTTCTGCTCTTTTTTGTATCATTGCTTCACCCTCTGTGCTCCTTGGTCTTGTTGGCCATTCTCTATGGTTGGCCTTGTTGGCCACTCTCTATGGTTGGCCTTGTTGGCCACTCTCTATGGTTGGCCTTGTTGGCCACTCTCTATGGTTGGCCTTGTTGAAAACTCTCTGACATTGGCCTTCTTGACCACTCTCTATGGTTGACCTTGTTGACCACTTTTTATAACTGGCCTTGTTGACTGCTCTCTATGGTTGGTTTTGTTGAGACCATAGAGATTTGTGCTAGAAGGAGGAAACCATGGATGCTTCACATATCTGCAAGAAACCGGGCACACAAGAAGAGACCTCCTTGTCCCTCACCGATCAGTTTCATGACGTTGGGATGGTCAAAGTCCTTCATGCAAACGGCCTCACTGAGGAAGTCCTCCATCTCACTGCGGGTGCATATGGCAACTGCCAAGAGAAGAGAGAAATTAACGCTTTGGCAGCTTTAATCCTTGCTCAAGGATTTCTGATCATGAAACTTGACGACATAAGATTCATTTATTTATTTTAGAAGATTTACATGGCCACCATACACTCACAATGACTCTGGGTGGCTTACAAACAATAAAAGTATAAAATTAAATTAAAAATATAAAATGTTTTATATATCTATATATACATAACTATACATATAAATAAATCTGCCAAAGCCTTAATTTCCCTCTTC